TAAAAGATGATATCTTATCTGTATGACCAACAATTACGCAGTAAGTTCTTTTAGCTGTTATGAGAAAAATAAATTCAAATGAACGCGCCGCCGCGTTTGTCAAACTCTAATTCAACATGCCAGAATAAAGCCAGATTTTAGAATAATGCATAGCCACTCGGCGTGGTGTGCCAAAATACCCTAATTATAAACTTCAATATTTCATTCAAAACCATCTCAAAACGCTTTGTGACATTTTAAAAAGCCGTGAATGTATTAAGGCCACTGGAACCCGGATCGTAACTGCAACGCGCTGCATGTCTCAATACAGGAGCAGAAGCGCTGGTTCAGATTGTATTGTTTGTTGTTTAAACGTGCATGTTGCATATTTAAAAATATTTGTTTAAAAATAAATGTTTGTTGTAGGCTTATTTGCAAATTACCATAACTTGTAGAATTTCATCCTTACTGTTAATTGACATTAGCCCCACTTACGTTTTGATAAATGTCCCTTTGCGCCACCTGGCGGTCATTTCGCGAACGACTTTGAAATGCGACTGGTTTATTTTTATTGTATTGGTCTACTTTAAAAAATAATACTTTATAAGACATTTATGGAAAAAGACTATTTTCTTTTCAAGATTCTGTAGAATGGCCCATATAGCATTTGACTAGAATTTGTTTCCAGGTATGACTAAAAATGTGCTTTTGGCTTTCATTTATATTTTGATTGTTTGTATATATATATATATATATATATATATATATATATATATATATATATATATATATATATATATATATATATATGTGTGTGTGTGTGTGTGTATATATATATATATATATATATATATATATATATATATATATATATTTAGGCTATATATATACAAGAAAGAATGCAATGACAATATATATATATATATATATATATTGTCCTTGCATTATTTCTTGTGTGACACCCCTGAATGAAAGGCTCATTATTATGTAGGGTCACTGTCTGAGAACCACTTAATATTCATGATAGGGGTTGGGCCGTTCCGCCCATCTGCATATTGCCTTGGCAAACAAAAAAATGTTTTTCACAATTTAAAACAATCTATTGGTTTATGTGAATGATTAGGAAGGATGATTTTCAGATCATTTTGAAGCCAGAACTCGAAGCGTCAACATCCATTTGTCAAAAGTCTTGTGGACACATATTTAGTATTTGTTTTGTGGTCTTATTTCAGCAGCTTTCATTTTAATTTTTTTCAATAACCACGCATAAACAATATTCTCTTAAAAATACAAACAATGTACATACAAGTTGCTCACAGATTATGGTAGCCCTGTTTGTGCTATATAGAGTGAATTTACACCTTTGCCATTAACATGTTTATAAATAACTGAAAAAAGCACAAATGTAAGGGCATCACAGAACATCCAAATGGCCCCAAAAACACCTCAGACCCCAGAGGGTTAATGCAGCACAGCAGAAATAGATTCGGTGCAGTAACGATCGCTGTACTCAGGGGCGGAGCTAGACGCTCAGTACAGGGGGGGCGAAGCTTCATCATGGGGCCCTCTGCTACCAAATCATTTTAAAATTAAAACCGTAAAAAAAACCGTAAAATATCTGATGAATGCATATGTAATAATGTGTCACTTGTTTAGCCAAGTAAGCTTATATGTTAAATAAAACACAAAGGCTATCTCGTTCTTTTCAGAGAACAGTCTGTTTTCTTTCGTTTTGAATTGTTCTGTAAAAGTACACATTTCGAGCTTTCTAGATATATTTCTCAGGTGTGTGAGGCAAGTAGGCCTACCTTATACGCTGTGTTTCGGTTCATTTATGACTCACAAGACGAGCTCCAGTTCACGCGCCGGCCCCTCCGTGTCGTGATTATCTATTGTCTGCTATAGCCTATTTACTTCTTATTTATTATATCCAGGCAATTGGTTGATGAAACATTGATTAAAATTAAGATACAATTAATACAAAACGAAATTCGCCTTAATGAATGGCTTTGTACTTTGATGTCTTTGATGAAAATTTTAAAGCAGTCTTTCAGTGGCGCTTTCAGAGCGCTCACGTCCGTAACGGGGAACTGTCTCGTAACATTGTTTTTCCCTCATAAATGCGAGCACGAAAAATAAGACAAAATGAATATTTTGTTCTGTGGAGATCCAGCCCTTCTTCATCCGGTGGGTATTGCTTTTTGTAGCTACGTTTGCCACCTAAAAGTTAAAGTTTTTTTGTGTCACGTCCGTGTATTTCCCTCATATTAAATATAAAATGCATGTGTAGACTGATATTTTTCTAATGTCTGGAGTCTGGACTCCTTTATTAAGGAGTATAAACAGACGTTTCAATATATTGGTATTAAATGCATTTTCTAAGAATTTACATTTCAAGTTTTTTTTACCTCAAATGTCACGTCCATAACGCTGGAATTGCCCAATTTTAAAGAAATTATCCTCAACTAGTTTTGTGGTGTAGGTCTACGTATTTTATAATGTTAACTTCAAATAATAGCCTACTAATAGTAATATAAAGATGTGGTAGCATTGGATCTGGACAGGAAGGATAACGCTGGGAGTTGGAGTGTGTCGCGATTCTGCCTTCTCACACACGTTTCGGTATCATATTGCATATCAGCCATCATTTCTAAAGAAAATGACAAAAATAGTAATGCACAGTAATTTGGATAAGTAATTTTAATCTGATTACTGGTTTGGAAATAGTAACGCGTTATTACTTGTTACTGAAAAAAGTTACCGGCATCACTGCTGGCGAGGGGCCCTGGCGAGGGGCCCCAATTGGCACGGGGCCCTGGGGCGACCGCACTCAAGCACCCACGCTATCTCCGCTACTGGCTGTACTGCTGTTATACGTGCCGCATCTGGAACGGTGTGAAAAGTGAAAGCCCTAACCTGTTAACATGGTGCGTTAGGAGCACTGCTGTGTGCCACTTTGCTCTGCTTCAAGTCGCTAACAGCCATTTGAGCTTCCAACGCTTCCCGAAAAACACCAACCTTCGTGCGCAGTGGCTGCACAAAATAGACATTTTGGGCGACGCGCAAAAAAAAAAGAAAGAAAAAAAAATTAAGTATGTGTTTGTGGTACAGCCGCGGATCAGTTATTCACTGCAAACGCATCGTATGTGAAAGCACTATAGCGCGCGTTGCTCCTGCACCGCGCACTGCAAACGGGGTATGTGTGAAACGGGCGTTAGATGATAGATCCACCTACAGTTCTTAGAAACTTAGATGTGTTTAACAACTCTTTTTTTCGTACAACAGCAGCACTCATCTTGTTCGTTTATAGCGGATGCGGATGAACAGCCGTAAACCGGAAACTGACATGCCGACTTCTGACAATAGCGGAAGTTCGAAATTACGCTTGTGCACATAGCCTATTAGCCTGAAAATGCCTCCACAACCCAACTAGCCAAATGCAGGATTCGCCATTAAAAATAAAGCTATGTAAACACACAGATTATAGCCTATATATTTACTCCAGAAACTAACTCTACGAACATGTAAAACAGTGATAGATGAGCCTCTTTACCTTTACGCTGAGGAGAAAATCCAACGCGACTTTGAGGGGCTCAAGCCAAACATGATTATGTATTTCTGCTCAGCAACACTGGACATCAACCACACGGCATACGCTAATAACTTTTCATTACTGTCTACTTTCTATGTATAACAGTTCTATCTAATAACGTATTAGACAGGACTGTTAGACAGATCATCATAAACTTAATGAACACGGAGAATGCGAGCGCTGTGTGGCTCAGGCTCTGGCGTTCCCAGCGCCGTCAAAATAAAAGTCACAACAACAAGTGAGGCTCACGTCACTTTAGAGATCCTACTGGCGGTGCGATCGCAACCAGGAAAACTTTCCTAAGGGAACCATTAGTTCTCGGGGAGCCGCCCTGGTGTCTGGATCCTAGACCTATCCGGTGCGAAAGCCCATATTCATTAAAATATGTTTTGGTAAACATTCTGTGCGAATTGTATTGTTTTCTGGTTATTTTTTTCTTATGTTATTGAAGAAAGGCGTGGATTATTGGCGTCTTGAATATGGCATCAAGTCTCTGTGACTCTTTTATATGTTCGGTCCGTATTATTTGTTTTATTCAAAATAACGAGCTATAATTGGTTACGGGCCGTGACAGTCCCCTTCTCGAAGTGCCCTTCATGGGCGCAAAAACGCTGTTTGAATTTCTCCCAATTCGCCTACTTATACTACGCCCTTAAAGTATGTACTCTTTTTGTGAAGAAAAAGTACATACTTTTGAGTGTGTAGCAAAAGAGTAGGCAAGCTTTGGGACATATTAGTTCGTCATCTTTAACGGACAGCTCTGTCGCGTACATCTTGTCATCGTACACTGCCCTGTCAATCATCTCGTCTCAGTTAAAATCCTCCATTCAATCTAATTTAATTTCTTACCGTTTCGGAGAGAAATGTAGTCGCACGTTCATCTGCCAGTCATGGGTCTTTCATGCCGAGACTCTCCTCATGTGTTTGCAATTTGAATGTAATGATGCATTTAAAAGTTAATGGCTAAACGTATCTTTACAAAAGTTCACAATGCTGCTGCAGATGCAATATAATGTAGACAACATTGAATAAATATATCTTCGTCAGGTTAGATACTGATAATTAATCACTCAAACCCCTTTATCTAAACCTCTCTACATAACCGCCGGACTCCATATCTGTAGTTTTTTTCTGTAGTTTGTAGTTCTAACCGAATCCTCGTCCAGCGCGCGATGGGTTGTGGGCAATATCAGCCGTTAGAGTGCGCATCGATCTGCACTTCGGATTCTGACCGGAAATAGTAGACCATCCGGGTCTCTTTGGATACTCATTACAACATACTATGATTTGAGACGTACTAATTCTATTTTCGAATACTATTTAGGACGGATAGTATGCGAATTGGGACGCAGCACCTGTGCCTTAGCAAGAACGGATCTTGTTATATTCTCGGGGTTCTCGATGCGAATCGCTCTGCGGAGCTGCTCACCGGTGTTGTGCGCGTCGAGTTGTGACACCGAGTTGACGGCCACCTTGCAGAGAGAACAGTAGAGCAGACGCAGGGCTTTCTCCTCCTCCGTCTCTGGACTCGTCCCGCTGTCGTTCTCCTCCGGCTCAGGCGGGTTGGGTGTGATGGAGAGACCGTCCTCTCCTCCTGACACTGAGGAAGACTCGGGCTCTGAGGGGTCGGCGCTGGGGCCGGTCAGCGGGGCAGAAGAGGGCGATGAAGGGGACACCGGTGCAGGACTTCCACCTGTAAAGCACAAATCACCTGCTATTAGTGAGTGTTTCAATGCTTTACAGTTGAGTTTATACAGTGGCAGATCTTGTTTTTAAAGTCTCTCTGTAGTGAAAATCAAGCTGTTTATATGTCTATGTGGTGTTTTTAATATGCTTTAAGACAAACCATGTGTAAGTTCATAAGTCGACAGCATTGCTGAGTATTTTCTGCTTAAAACTGCAGTGAACCAAAGACAGTCTCAAAAACACGGTTTGAAATCGCTGGTGTTTCTGACGTCACAAACGACCTTGTAACCAATCAGATCAACGTGTGATCGTCAACCAGTGGATCTCTGAGCTGAGTGAGTGAGTGGGGGCGGGGCTCATTTGCATATTCATAGAACCATGAATACTAAATGAGGCAAGGGTGTCGAGTTACATTCAAGCTATTTTAAGGCATGAATAAACATTTAAATATGTCATTTTGGTGATCAGAGATGAGTTTTGAGGGATAAAATTATTGACTACAATAATAAGTTAAGGGACTTTTTTTGACTGTTTTTGTTGAGTCTTTTGTTTTGGACTGAAGTGTTTCATAATGTGAAACTGTTCTAGGACTGATTATATACAGGTGAAACTCGAAAAATTTGAATATCGTGCAAAAGTTAATTTATTTCAGTAATTCAACTTAAAAGGTGAAACTCATATATTATATAGACTCATTACATGCAAAGTGAGATATTTCAAGCCTTTATTTGTTATAATTTTGATGATTATGACTTACAGTTTATGTCGGAAAACCCCAAATTCAAAATTAGAATATTGTGAAAAGGTTTTCATAAACTGTAAGCCATAATCATCACAATTATAACAAATAAAGGCTTGAAATATCTCACTTTGCATGTAATGAGTCTATATAATATATTAGTTTCACCATTTAAGTTGTATCACTGAAATAAATAAACTTTTGCACGATATTCTAATTTTTCGAGTTTACCTGTATTCGTCCCGAACCGTCATGGTACAGACCATAGACTGTAAAAAAAGATGGACGACGCCCCTTCGCTCTTTTCCATTGGAGAGAACTGAAGCCGCCAGTGTCCCGATATGGCGCTGACATATTGGAATTTGAGTTTGCACAGTAGCGTTTTCGGGACCAGTCATGCGCAGTCGTGAGCAGGAAGTAAAGCCGCGAAATCAAGGCCCCGCCCTCACGCTCGCTGAATCAATCGCAAGCACACGCCCTGCACTTTTCTTAAGTGGCCTTGTCTGCTCCGTTGCTCTCCAATGATGTCTGCTGTTTGCAGTACCTCGTTAAAATAAGGTAAATACAACTACTAACCACATAGTCAACATTATGAAAAAAAGTCTGTTAGTACTTCAGTGACTACTTCGCACAGAGAACCTGTCAATCACAGCTGTCAATCATGATGTCACAGCACCGTTTTTATAGCATCAAATAACTAACTAAAAACTAACTTATTTTAAAACAAACACTTGAAATTACATCAACGTGATAGAAACTACAGTAAATGACGGAAACTATCTTTAGAAAAAAGATATGTGAAGTGTAATTTAATTATTTAGTTGGTCTCACGTCCCGTTGAATAACATGGGGAGGCGGGGCTTATGACCTATACTAGGACCGGCCACCGGGGGGCGATCGAGACGTTTTGGCTTCACTTTTGAGGGCTTGTGCGGCACGCTTGGTACAGACGTCACTGTTCGGTGAATACAGTCAGTCACAGGCGATCCACACTCCAGTCCAGAAGGGGGCGCGTGCGGTAATGCAACACTGTTTGCTAACCGCCACAACAGGAAAAGGAGCAGAAGAAACAAGAGCTTGCTAGTAGCCCATACGCTGAGTTTCCATTTATTTGTGTGAAGCGCTCCACAAACTTCACGGAAAGGAAACTGGGATGGCAGAAAGCGGTCACCTGTTTGTTTTCTTTATTTAAAAGCACTATGATTTGTTTTTATAGTGAGTGTACACAAATAAAATCAGACCCTGACCCTGTCATGGGGGTCGGAACCATGGGACAAGACCCACCCACTTTTTAAGACCAATGATCCTGGACCCACTCACTTTTACCGTCTCTGATTCAGCGAATATGCCTGTTCACTTTCAGAGCGCCCTAATAAATTAAACTCCATTTCCGCTGAATCGCTACATTATATTATTTCTCAACGAGCCGCAACTGATGAAAATAACCGCCCGTTGTACCCTTCCAGTCAAATATTGCGTTGCAAACATCAATAACAGCTTTAAGTTGTCAGTGCTGGCAAATGGTATCAGCAGCGGGATAGTCCGCGGATAGCTGTGCATTAATGCATGACGTGAAGCGGAGTTTAGTTTGCGTGTTTAATTAATAGGCACTAGAATACATGAAATGGCATTTATTCCAGTAAAAATTTTCTGAGGGAGGACCCACCCACCCATTTATTTATTTTTTGCTTCCGACGCCAATGGACCCTGTACAGTTTTACATGTAATTGTAACGAACTTATATCGAACCGTGACACCAAAACCGAGGTAAGAACGAACCGTGACTTCTGTGTACCGTTACACATATACAGTAGATACATTTATATTACAAACAAATAAATAAATTCTGACTCATCGTTATGATGATTGTAATATCTTACTTTGTTTGTTTTTTATTATGTTTGTGTGCTGCTACCTTGGCCAGGGCTCACTTGTAAATGAGATCTCAATGTGATTTTCTTCCCTGGTTAAATAAATGTATAATCATTTTTTTTTAATTTTTTTTATTGATTTGCATTCATCAAGTTTCAAATATGAATAGATTTTTTTTAATAACGTATCATTTTAGTATTTAATCTAAAATAAATATCTGCTAAACAAACAAACAAATACGTTTTTTCAAACTGAAGCGCATTTGCACGAATGCTATTGAGGAGCAAATACAAATCAGATTTCTCTAATTATACACACATGATATTGTCCCACTGGATGGACGAGTATTGGATTGTGTTTTGGATGAATAAGCAGCAGACGCACACAAACACAAACGCTGATGTCATCGATGACCTCTAAAGGCTCCTTCGGTGCCATTGTTAATAATACATGAGCACATTAATGCATCAGACGGCACTTTCTCTTTCTGAGTTTCCCATCCACAGTTGAACTTGCTTTGATTTTGAAGACTTCCTTTATTTATGCTGGAAAATAACTGTGTCAAACCGTGAGATCGATGGCGCCACGCGCCAATATTACCTAATGCGGTCGACATGGAAATGAATTGCACAGAATAAGATAAACTGCTGCTGATTTCCCCCAGATGAGCTCTGGTTTTGGCAGGGCGCTCGGATCGATGTCTGAGGGGTCTGGACTCTTTGTACAGTAATAACACCGAGGCTCTCTTCATTTCAGACCCCGGGGACTCAATCGATACTGAATTATGTCGTTCTATTTTGGTGACCCGTTAAGTAGAGTCTCTTATTTTTCCCAGAGCTCCTCTTTGGACTGATGCTTTTCATCTGTAAAAGAAAAGAGAAAGGGACGCAGAAGCTAAGATCAATTAGTCTTGCACATGTAGTTTTGTTGTGTAAGTGATGGACCCAGAGTCCTTCATCCGTGTTGAAAGGCTCACCAGCTGGCTAGAGGAGATTAGCTTGTTAAGCTCTGGACTTTCAGGCATTTCTCTCCCAGCAGAGAAGCATCATTGACCGTGACGGCTCGGCACGAGAACTTCATTTACACTCCAGTTTCCATTAAATCTGCAGCAGCGGCTGCACGGACACTTCAGCCGTGGACGAAACAAACCCAAAAGAGCTCTTCTCAAAGCTCTACGGATGAGCATTTGGACAAAAATAAAAATAAACAAACCAGTCATAACAGCTGATGTCAACCAGTAATAAATAAAACATGTTATTTGGAATAAAACATGACCAAGCTCAGCAAACACTGTTATTTTAGTGTTGGTTATGCACTATTATAATTAGCTTTTATTTGAATATATTTTTACTCATTTTGGTTTAAGTTTTAGTAATTTTGTTATGTATTTTTTGTAATTTTTATATTATATTTATATACATTTATATAAATGTAATTTTAGTACTTATTTCAGTCAGTGTATTTTTTTGTTTAACTTTTTTTAATGTTTTTCTGCTTTATTTCAGTTACTGAAAACATTATACAGTTTTAGTTAACGATAACAACACTGGTTTAGTAAACACACAAGATGTTTTAGAAAGAGCACATCATCTGGAAAGAATTGTCCTGTCTTAAATAGGAGTGTGAATCACAGGTAATTTAACTAATTATGAATCAGATTCCACTTAATGACTCCAGTTTCGTAATGATTCATGTTGGTACCTTGAGGAAACCCTTGAGATAAGTGGTCATAATTATACATTAAATAAATAAAGCACTATTTGAGGTCACATTTCAGACTAGAAGAGTTTGGGATCCAAACTAATGTCTTGTTGACAGACTCATTAATAATAACCGGTTCAAATGAGTCACTTGTGTGTGAATCAGACTGCTGCACTGTACTGTAAAATGTAAGTCTCTTTTTTGCTACAACCAAAGAGGATAATGCAATAGAAAGACGTGCGTAATACTATTATGCATTGCACAGTTTTTTTCTCTCACATTCAATTGAGGTTGATGAAAATTGACTGACAGCAAAATATGCCCCTCCTTCTGAAAAGCACACTGTGCTCTGATTGGTCGGCTGGATCAGTCTGTTGTGATTGGTCGGGCGCTTCGAGTGTGTTTGGGAAATGTCCCGCCCCTTCCCATAACCACCAGTTTAACACACTACTAACTAACTCAACCAGGCCCCGCCCCTTTATTCTGCGCATTAATTATTATAATGAGGAATATTGTGACGTGTTCGTTCCCGGAAGAAACTCAAGACTACAATGGAGGCGTTTCAGGAGTTCAGAAACACTGATATAGAGAATAACTCAGAGCTTTTTCATGCTCAAACAGCAACATTACACACTAAAGAAAGATGAATTTGTAAAAAGGCATATAGGCCCTCTTTAAAAGAATTTAGGTCATAT